GGTTCTGGTTTGATGCGGTAAGTGCTCGGGCTTCCCTAGCGTGACAGAATTGTGTGGAGCCTTGCCTGCCTGCTGCGAGTGTGAGAGTCGAAACCCTGTACCTGTAGCACAATGAGAATTGAAAATAGACAACAAGAGCTTCAAGAGTTTGGCCTTGATCGACTGAAACGCTGTCGCAACGTCAGGTGCGGCTGACAGTGGACTCCCCGCAACAGGGAGCCTTGCCTTCAAATCGCTTGAGCGAAGTGGCTCTTTTGGGGTAAGATGCTCCTTTCTTGTCCGTTTATCTTCTCATCACGGAGTCCTTGCGTGTTCCTTCCTTGCCGGGAGCCTTGCGGAGGCAAGCTTCGATCTGCATGAAGGGTCTGTTGAGAAATGGGGTGCGGTCATCGGCGGATCACAGACCTGCAGCACTGGAGCCCCTCGTGGCCGATAGACCGGCAAATGAGAGCATCAAAGTTCGCACAAAAAATTGTGAAAAAACGCGGGTCATGCGCCCGGCATACTCAAAGCTTAAGCCATGCAACTGGCCGAGGCCAGGCGCTGCCACAGGACTATGTCTTGGACGTTGTGGTAGGCGCACTTTGTCAATCGAGGAATGCTCTCTTCAGACTGTATCAGACTGTATATGAATCGCAGGTGTTCTTGACGTTCGCCTTGAGTCTGCGAACATCCCAGCAGTGCTCGCCGCGGATGCATCATCTTCGGCTGACTTCGTGATTTCGACACCACGTGGTATGGAGGCAAGGTTGCAACATGTCTACCTAAGCTCTAAAATTTGGAGCGTGCTTTCGCATGTCATTAGAGTAGCAAGCCGAGTGCCGCGAGACCTTCGCCCGAATCCGTGCCTACTTTTGCTATGCTTGCTGAACTGTGTGGTGGAGCTTAGTCTATTTTCGTTGATGCACACCTTGCTTGAATTGAGCGACATTGAGCGAGCCCAATGAGTGAGTATCAGAGTCTGTCCTAACACCCTAACACTGGGAGCCGCAGGCAGATGTGCTTGGGCTCCGCATTGGCCCATTCCTGCAGCTGCTGGTTGTGATGGGCGCAGAGAACTACACCGAGAACTTGCTGGAAAGGAACCGAAGATGCAAATCGGTTTCGGGGCTTTTGAGAATTTGGATACCTGGTGCAGTTGAAACTTGGGAAACGTTGGGATCAGACTCGCCTGTTTGCGCGAATGTCCCCGAGACACTGACGGGAGTCCAGTGCTGCGAAGGACTCGCTACAACGTCAGTGCGAACAGCCTCGTCGGGCTGGGCCGAGAGCTGCTCAGCTGGAGTCGTTTGACAAGCCTCATTTCTTTGTAGCCTAGAGTTTGTCAGACCTGTCAGCGCTAAGATCTGTCGAAGAGATTGGACGCCCCGGCCCAAGGTTGACGATCATTCTCCAGGTACGGCCTCCGCCTGGCAGCGACTTCCCGACTTTGGATGTGCGCACGGCCCTTGTGGTGTCATGGCTGAACGTAGCAGAACCATTTAGTAGGAGTGGGGCACTTCCCTCATATGTAGCAGGACTCACGGCGACCCAAGCAGGCCCGCAGACATACAAGGACCACGCTGACTCGAAATATGCGGAGGGATCTTCTCGCAGCATGCTGTGGTTAAAACACAGGACAGCATCATTAGCATGGCACGCGCAGAACTTCGCTCGCCAAGGTGAGCTTCCAACAGCCGTCGGTGGTCTCCATCGTCGCATGGCTGGTAGCACGAATTTGACTGCCCTGGCATCCGAAAGAACAGCAACGGTGCTACATACCAGTATTAGCGGGAAGATGGCGGCAGTCGGCCTTGTGATCGCAGCAGAGGCAAAGTCCTTAGCTCGCCAGGGAGGCAGTTCAGATCCGAGGAGACGAACATGGCGAACAACACCATCTCCGTCCTGCAGACCACAGTTATCACGGTGTCAGGGAAGCTTGGTTGCCCGTTTCAGCAGAGACAGCGGATCAGATGCTGAACACTGCTAGGGGGCTTGGGGCTTGGGATGCATGTGAGGACAAACCTGGCGGTGGTTGCCTCAAACGCCTCAGCGCCTTTGAGCGCTGAGATCTTCGTTGCTGGCCTTCCGTCAAATTGCTCAACCACTGCCGCTGCGCTAAAAAGAAAGGGGTGCCGTGTGTAAGCCCCAAAGGTCGACTGACTTGGAAATAGCTCGGTAGCTTCGGGCTGACACTAGCCGTTGTGGGCATTTTGAGAGACGGAGGAATGTCAAGAGCCTGCGCTTCAAGCCCTCCTGGATGCCGGGGAAGCCAGCCTGTGTTCAGACATGGTGGCCCGGCAGCATCTTCCGTTTCGGAGTTCGTGCTTTACATGACTAGAGGTGCATTGTTCGAAGATTGAGTCGGAGTCGCAGGTGGTGCTTTCGGCGAGCACCCTGAGTTGCAGCATGGAGCCCACAGGCCGACGTAGTGCAGAAGACGAGCACAACTTGCCCATTTCTTACCCCTGATCAGTCAGTGCGCAGCTGGGCCTTTGCCTGGTCCTCCGCAGCGGTGTCCTGGCAGGTATGTCGCAAGGAGCTTTCATCAATGGGATGTTTGCGTATCGCTGGCAGCAGCAGCAGCAACAGCCACATCACTCTCATCATGATGCCTACAGAAGCCCAAAGTGCTCGTTTGGGGTTGCCGTTTTGGCGGTAAGGGTCTTAGATTGGTCTTTGGTCGTTGCTTTCGAAATCGGATGCTGCTCACCGTGTCACGCCGACTTCGCACAGTGCTTTTGGTGTTCAATGAGAGCCACGCAGCTAGCCCCCCTGTTCCCCAAATATCCGACAGAAGAAGTGGAGGATTGCTGCTGTGATTCATCAGCCCATCTGCGACCAGCTGTTGTCGACTCCTACTGGATTTTCGCATCAAGAAACAAGTCCGCACCATACTCCTTACCTAAGCAGGATCAAAACTGAAACCAGGGGCCGCGCCCCGAAAGGGACCCGAAAAGGAAAACTTTCGGAAGCTTAGCTGCGCTTCCGCTTGGAGGGGCGCCCCCCAGGTCTCTTCGCCCGCCGCTACTGCGCAGCGTTCGGCCCACCCGGCTCTCTGCGGCCCGAGCAGCCGGCCGTCGGAGGCGCGCCCCTTTTTACTAAGTGTTTTTTGGGATTTCTTTCGTGGCTTGCAAGCCTATATAGGGCTTAGACGGACAAGGCAGACAACATTGAAGGACAGGGCTTCGGCATATCTCAGGGTTCGCGGGAGATTCTGAGACCAAGACTGATCGGAAAAAGGGAGTGCGCTTGAGTTCCCCCGGCGCAGCGCCAGGCCTGTCGCAGCCAGTCCAGGACATGTCCTCGCCTGAGCCCTTCATCGTCATCGTTGGCCGGGGCCCGAGAGATCTCCATCGCTTTGCAGATGGGCAAGGAGCTTTCCCTAAGCTTAGCACAATGCCCTTGAAATCTCCAGATGGCGACCTTCCCTGGGAGAATGTCTCACAGGGCTATCTCCAGGCTGGCGCGATGAAGGGGGAGAAAGTTGTTTCTTGCATCCAGAACTAGGAGCTTGGCCTAAGACTGTAGAAATCTCACTGGCCACAGTAGTTGGAAAACCAAGACGTGCTAAGCAATAAGCCTGAACGGGTCGAAGTTTGGAGCCCTGCAACCTGCTTCAATGTGCAGCCTCTTGCAGCCTGCGTTGCTTCAGAGTCACAACATGCCGCAGCTTTGGCACCGGCGTGGAGGTGTGGGCGACGCTCTTCGACGAAGTGCCAGCAGGTGTCTCGAATCCCGGCGATGGCTATCAGCCTCTTTGCGCCCAGGCCAGGCGTGATGGAAACCCAAGCCTGAATATGAAGACAAGACGATTGCAGTCGGGTTTGTGCACTATAGCTATAGTAGTACTTGGTTGCAGCAGTGCAGTGGCCAAATGTTTGTTGGAAATGACGATGGTGATGGTGCCGATGGCGGCGATGGGGATAGTTGCTGCTCATGAGCATGACAGGAACCATGCTCATGACGATGACGATTGATGAACAGGGCAGTGAAGACCGATATGTTGCTGCCAGAGCCTGTGAGAGATGCGACTGCAGCATTAGACCCATGCCACTAAGTTTCGATTCTCGTCCTTCACCTGAGGGGGGGGTGCTCCTGGATCCGTTCGCTTCGGCTCCAGAGCCCTGGTGCCCGCAGGCAGTCCGCATGGACAACAGCAGCATCCTCTGCTTCCGCACCCAGAACTTCAACATCTCACAACTTGGGTCTCGCGCGAACATCTACGTCTCTAGGCTATGTGGGCGGAGCAGAGACTTGCAGATGATAGCCTGCTAGGCAGTGCTGAATCTCAGAATCTCAGGTGCAGAGTGGGCCAGATGCCACTTCTGCGAACATCAACGAGGGTGGACTTCAAGTCAACCAGCCACGCATCGATTCGCAGCTCGAAGCCGTCATAGTTGCTCCTTTTGTTTTCAACGCCTCGCCCTAAGGCAGTTCATGCCACTTGTTTGTTTATTTAGTGTTCTTTGTGACCTTCTGTGGGGCATGGCATAGCCCACTACCAAGGATCACACGCAGCCACGAATTTGAAGTGGGCGCTCTGGATGTTACCATCGAGGGGGAGCACTTCGGCACCCAAGCGAATGGCAACATGGTGCCTTGACCGGATCTGGCCCGGCAGCCGTCTCCAGCCCAGAGTACCCATGCTGCGGCATGTGACCATTTCTTTCGGGCAGGTGGTGCAACTGGAGACCTTTGGGGCGAACACGTCGGCCGTGCCAGACCTGCCCCTCGCTCCAAGTCTAGGGAGCCCTATAGGTGGATTCCAGGGGGCTTGGTGAGGCCCTCACCCGTTTTTGGAGCTTTGAGGAGCCCTGAAAAGTCCCCGATTCCCCGTCGAGTGAAGAAGCGCTGCTTTTGCCAAGCCATTGCCCACAAAGGGTCAACGGCATTCCTGTCCGCACGCAACGTATGGCTTCGCTGATATTCCTGTAGACTGCATAAGATCTCTGTGAGATCCTATACTATACTCTGCACGAAATGGATTATGCGTGAGATTAAATGGATTGGGTTCGGAGACCTTGCCTGGATTTGCTCGAGTGTGTCCCGCAGTGCTTCGTCAGTAGAGTGGGCCAGTCGCTGCTGCGTTGAAACCCTGCTTCGTGTTTCGCTGCGCCGTTGACAGAGCTCCCTCCGGGTTGTGGATTTCCGTGGTTTCAGACTTCTGATTGTTGCCGTGGAGTTTGAGGCTGCCTTGTGCCAGAAGCTTGCTGAGCCGATGAGCTTCCCATTACCAGCTCGCCTGCAGTTTCCGAGTTGTGAGAGTCCGGATCCTAGCAAGGTCCCTTGCAGACGAGCAAGGGCAGCCCACGCACGTCGTTCCCTGCCAGATCATCAGTCACGAGGACTGTAGGATGGTGTGACGGCCCGAGCCCCAACCCCAGAAAGCCTGGAAGCGCAAGCAAAAGCCCTGAGATACCCTACTCGAGGACACGCAGCTGCGCTGCCGTGTCGAGGATCAAAGCCTGTTCGGTGCAGAGGTTCCGGGTGGTTGCCGGGCTGCATGAGAAGTATTAAGTATTATTCGCTGGTGAAGCCCGTGCCCGCTGGAAGCGGAGAGAGTTTCCGAGTTTCCTTCCAGCAGAGCTTCGCCCCTCAAAAGTGTTGTTCTCCTTCAGTTCCCAAACGTCGAAAAAAGAAAACCGCATCCGGCGCCCAGAATACTACGAAGAGACGGTGGAGGTGGAGGAGAGCCGCCGGCTTCAGCAGGGAGATGAGCCCTTGGATCTCCCCAGGCCTGGCCTGGTGATGTCTGTGGGCCTTTCTCTCTCTCTTTTGATCTTTTTGGTGTTTGGGGGGTTTGGGGGGGGGGGGGNNGTGGGTTAGGTCAATTGGGTTGTTCGGGGCGTTGCAAGCAACAGTTTGTAAGCTTTGAGCTTAACAAGCCATTTTGAGTGCAATTATGGAGTTCCGCGTCTCGGGCTTGGAAACTGAAGCGGCTCTTGGGCATCGGTTTGCCAAAGCTGAATACTTTCGCACAGGGGAGTTGTCACAGTCACTTCCCAGGTTGGCACTGCAACTCTCACAGCTGCCTGTGGCCTTCTCAGTGTTCTACGAGCCGCTCAGCTGCCAAAGCCCGATAAATTATAAATCATCAGCTTACAGCCAAGCTTGCAGTATCGCGCTTTCGTCTGTGTGTTCATGCTTTAGTTGAGCTCGGTCGCGGGCCCCTGCTTTTCTGTGCACCCCTTTCATGTCTATAGTGCAAGACCCAAGCGTGGCTTTCCGGTTGATACTTCAATGCAGAGGCCTGGTCGTGTTCTGTGTACGCAGCCTCGTGTTCAGCGCTGAATCCGCGATCTTGCAAAGAAGTGAAGATGTGCTGTCGTGCCGGCCAGACATACCATCTTTTGACATCACATGTGAGCGTTGCGTTCAGGTATCTGATTAGGCCCAGGCTGTTTTTTCATGTTCAAGGGTTGCTGGAACTTCAGGTGCCCGGTTTGAGATCCCTTTCAAGCGAGCACTCGTTGAACATGAGTCCAGGGCTTGTTTCCCCGTGTTTCCGCTCCGACTGTTGGAGCGTTTTCCATAAGCCAAAGGCAAAGATCTCCTTGCAACATGTGACTGTACTCCTGAGAGCAGGATATCAGAAAATCCATGCCCGAAACTGGTCACTGTATCAGCCCGGCAGACCAATGGCATCACAAGAAGAACGATTCTAATGATGTAGATAGTCGGTGATGGTCGTGATGGTGTGCACTTAAGTTAATTAAGCTCTATAGCAGCAAGGCCAATGAGAAGATCGCCCTTGTAATGCCTGTGACAGTAGCAGAGATCCCCCATCATCAGCATCATCGGCCGTATCAGAGACCCCGGAGCCATGGAGAGAGTGTTGCTGATCTCCTTGGGCTCCCGAGGGGACATGGAGCCCTTCCTTGCCGTGGGCGAAGAGCTGCAGGTGGCTGGGCACTCCGTGGCCTTCTGCATGCCTTTACAATTCCAGAGCCTGGCCATGGAGGTCAGCCAGACCTTCTATGCCATGGACAAACGCTTCCTGGAGCTGGTAGAGAACGAGGACGTCAAAAACATCATCGCCCAAGTGGGCTCGGCTTGGACCAGGCTTCGAACGATGGTCAGACTGATGTGGGAGACCAAACCACTCCAGCAGCAGCTAGTTCGAGACCAGCATGCTGCCGTCGACCACTTCCGGCCTGATCTCATCATATTCCATGGCAAGTGCATCTATCCCATCCTCGCGGCCCTGGAGTATGGGCAACGCGTGAAGATGCTTTGCCCCGTTCCCTGCATGATCCACGCGGTGGACACCGAGCCGAACATCGGTTTCGGAGATCCGGGCTCGGTGTGGTGGAATCGCCTAACTTACTTTTTGGCCAACAAGGTTTACATCAGCAAGTCCATTCTGGGCTACGGTGGCCCTGTGGCAAAGGACGAGCTGCAGTTTCGGAACTTGGACTCCTCCCGACTTACTGCCTTCATGCTCGAGGAGATGCCCGTGGAGTATGCGATCAGCGAGCGTCTCTTTCCCAGGCCTGAGAGCTGGCCCCCGCACGCGGTGATCACAGGCTTCCGAGAGCGGGACAAGGCGAAGCACTGGACACCACCGGCTCCGCTTTTGAAGTTCCTGTCCGACTACCCTGAACCCCTCTATGCGGGCTTCGGTAGCATGGTGAACGAAGATCCAGAGAAGGTAGGCCAGATCATATTGGATGTGACAGCTGAGTTGGAGCTTCCGGTGCTGCTGAACACGGGCTGGGGTGGGGGCATCCGAGTTTCGGAAGAAGATCTTCCCAGACATGCCTTCGTAGTCAACGACATCCCCTACGATTGGCTCTTCTCACGTGTGTGCGCGGTGGTTCACCACGGTGGCTCAGGGACCACCCACAGCGCCTTGCGTTTTGACAAACCGCAGCTCATCGTTCCGCACATTTCCGACCAGTTTCTATGGATGCGCCTCGTGAACCGAGCCGGCTTCGGGCCCATGGGCTTCCCCATCAAAAGCTTCAGCAAAGAGACCTTCAAAGCAAGCCTCACGGAGCTCTTGAGTCCACAGTACAGGAAGCCAGCATGACAGCCTAAGCCTAAGCCAGGCAGATTCGGAGTTCGTCCTCTACACACAGGGCATCGTCAAGATCGGGCAGAGCTTGGAGTTCCTGCTGCCCTCTGGAGCGGAGCTACGCTCTGTCAGCTCGGATCTGGAAGCTGCAACACTTCGACGACCGCCCGTGGTGCCAGCGCAGAACTTGCAGCACCAGAAAAGGTCGAAACAACGCCCGCAGCAGTTCTGACACACACACACACAGACAAACATAACACGCGCACACAGACAGAGATCTAATTATAATCATATATATATATATACAATATAGACTTACAGACTTTGTTTATAGATATGCAAGGTGCCTCCCTTCCCTATGAACCCAATCTCAGCTTCAGGACGGCATTGCCGCGGATCAACCAAACAGCAGAGAGCTTTTTCAAACGAGCCCAAGGTTTCAACACGTATTCAATTGAAAACGCCTCGGTCCAAGATTGAAGATTCCGGAGCGGACTTTGCACCTTCAACCTTGAATCTTTGATCCGAGGGGGATTCAATTGAATACGTTCTGACTCCGTTTATTTGAGTACGCCTTTGAAAATTGCACTTTGTTTTTAGAGCCTGCCGGCCTGTTAATCGTCGTCTATTTGTGCTTCATAGAGTCATAGATATGGTGCTGCCCAGTACGGAAATTTGACCCTTGCAATGCCGTAATTGTTGGGTTGCTCCTTTGTTGATATTGCTACTGTTACTGTCGTTGAACATATTCACCATGCTCTAGGTAGTCAAGATCAATCCCGTCCCTTCAATTGTTTAGAACGATTTTTTGGACGTCCAGACATTCCTTTAGTTCAATCATGTGTTGTTTAAGACCAGCAGCATTACAAAACTGGGTATTAGTCTCTGCTTGCAGATGTTGCTTTGAGAAGATCAGTTTATTAATTGTCTTCGTCTGTTTACCATGTACGCAACATTATACTCTGTGTGGGAAAACTGTGAAAGCGGTAAAGGCAAAGGCTCGTGTTGGTTAAAATTACACCTTATCTAAGGATAATTTGCTCATTTAGCTGCTGAAGTTGCTTTATGTTTGCCTGGGTTGTCTTTGATTGCTTTGTTTTCTATTTTGTGTGGCTTTCTTTGGTGCTTACAGTGGAGAGCCCTATCCATTAAGATCTCAGCAAGCCACAACAAATTTCTGGCATAAGTTCTCTCGGGGTCCCGCGCCCCCACCCCCCCCCCCCCTCCCGTGGTATCGCCCGGTTACAGTTGCTAGGTGAAAAATCTCTAGAACGATTTTGTAAACAGTACGCCAAATCCTAGTTCGATAGCACAGACTTTTACCTAGATGGTGAACTCATGATGGACTAAACTAACATAAACATTAAAACTCAGCTAGTATTCACGAGAAAGCTAGGAACACCATAATCGATTAATGCTGTAAGTACCAGGAACAAATACGAGCAAGGAACACACATTTTCAAGTGTGCAAGTGCAGGTTGTTACATAGTGCATGCACAGGTGTGCATTTTCAAGCACTTATTATAGCTGGTAAGATTATAGATTTATCAGAATGTGAATCAACATAGGACTCAACACTTATTACATGCCTGGTTCGTATTAAACTGCGACCTCATTTTGCGCCTGGGTGTCTCGATCGCCCCCAGTGCCCCTAGGGAAAGACGGAGAGAGCCTTTACAGAGAATCTGGCTTCATGAAGCTAAAAGCGTTCTTCGCTGACTCAGGATCGATTGCGGCATCTTGGAGAGGCCCCGGCCTTGGCTCAAACTTGCGAGGCTTCGGAGCTTCTCTGAGGGTTTGGCGAGACGCGGCTCCGGGCGAGAACCCCAATTATCGCCAGAAGTCGAACACCGCGGGTGGCGTGAGAAGAGGGCGGGCGATTGGAGGTGAGAAGCAGCGTGGATGAGCGAAGAGTCGGGTCGTCAAGCCCAGCATTGCAACCAGACACGAGCCGAAAAGAGTAGGGGCCACGGCTAGAGCTAGAGCTATTAGGATCAAGACGACGGACTTCTGCCCCCTGATCACCAGACATCGCCCCGCTGGGCTCTACAGTGCTTGGTAGGCCCATGTAGGCCCGAAGCGCCAGAGATTTTTGCCGTCTCTGCCCGTTGATGTCGCTCAGGCTCAACCAGACCTGCGGCAGCCGGCCAGGGAATTTGTCCGCCTTGTCGAGGTGGGCAGAAAATCTCAGCTGCGACTTCGTAGCCAGCAGCAGCTTCTCGTAGCAGCCAGCCCTTGCCTTGACTGCCTTGACTATCCCGGTTTGGGCTGGTTGGAAGGCTCTTTTGAGTTCGTCTCTCGGACGGAAGCCCCTGTGAGGGAATGGCAAGCCGTGCGCCTGAAGCCTTGTGCCGCTGGCGAGCGACGGAGCAGCTACACTGGCACCTTCCCAGAGCATGGGTAACTTCCGTACTGCTCAAGCACACATCATTTTGTGATTATAGAATTATAGTAAGACTGTGCCAGCCCCGTGCAGGATCTGTCACAATGTTCCGTTTTTGGAATTTTGGAGTTTGGATTCCGCGGTCTACATCTGCAACGTCACAAGCTCTGCCTTGCTTGTGAGACTTCACGTAAGGTACTGATTGCGTTCAGTGTGTTCCAGGCAGGTACAAAAGCAGCTTGGCAAAGACAAAAAGCATCAGTGTTTGGTGGGCTTCCCTGTCAAGAGACTGCCACAAGCTTTGGCTTGTCTACTCTCCTATGGGTTCATGCCAAGAGCTTGCGGCCGAGGTCGGAGTTGAGGGTGTCTGTCCAAAATGGTGTTCTGAAGCATGTACCGCACATATCAAGTCTGAAGTAGGTACATAAGTCGGCCTGGCTCCAGGATATAGTCCAAACCACGAATGGAAAACTAGGCTCTGTTTGGGCACCGGAGAAGCAGAAGAAAACCGCTCGAAGAGACCAGCGCATTTGAGAAATTTGACAACAAGGAGCCGACCGCTCGAAGAGGGCTTATAGAGCAAGTGAAAGAGAGAGCAAATCGATCGAAAAGAAGCAGAGCGTGAGAAAAAGAAGGAAACCGGTCGAAAGCAGAGTATCTGAGAAGGGATCATACTGCTGGAAGGCGCAGAAGCAAGCGGCCTGAAAAGGACAAGGGCATCAGACAAACGGAGCAAAGGAACAACCTGCTCCAAAGAGACCAGAGCGGCTCAGAAAAGCAATCAAATTTCCCGAAAAGAAATTAAAGTACTTGAGAAAAAGGAGCACGCCCTTCGAAGGGATTATGAGGAAAGGGAGCAAGCCGCTCGAAACGGACTAGAGCAAAAAAGAAAGAAACAATAAAAAGGGATTTGAGCAGCTATACGTGCATTGACATTGAAGAAACAGAAGTGGAGCAAGCCGCTTCAAAGGGACATGAGAGCTTTTGAAAACGGAAGCAAAATGCTTGAAGGGGCTAGGTTGAGGAAACGGAACATACTCTTCAAAAGAAGCACTGTTTGAGAAGACGAACCAAAGCGCTTGAAATTGACAGGTTCGATTGAGAAGCAATAGCAAAACCGCTTGAAAGGGCACAGCATTCTAGCAAAAACAAGTCGTTCGAAATGGACTGGAGCATGCTTGAGAGAATGAGGCAAACCGCCCGAAAGGGGTTCGTTCGTCTTCGTGAGAAACGAGGCAATCTGCTCGCGATAAGTTGAGAACCAAGAAGACTAAGAAAACCGATCGAAAAGGAAGCTTTAACCGGGAGCAAACCGCTGGGAAAGCCAATCGCTCGAAAGGAATTGGAGCTTTTGATTCGAGAAGCATGAGCAAACTGCGCGGAAGGGACTAGGGCTTGTAAGAGCAAGGAGCAAAGCACTCGGAAAGGACGAGAGCGAGAAGCAGATGCAAACTGCTGCAAAAGGCATTTAGAACAGCTCAAAAAGGAAGCAACCTTCTCGAACTGGAGCATCATGGGGTAGAATCATATTGGATCTTGCAGGGTCAAAGATAAGGGAGGGATGGATCAAGAACAGATTCGCCCGACAGAAACATAGAAGGAGAGCCAGAGACAGATGGTTTCTCGGAGGGGACTTCGTTTGCCCCAGGTGGTGTGGGCCCCGCCTTGACATGCAGTGCATGTGGCGTCGGCTTCTACATGGGCCTGCCGGGCGCAGGCACATGGCATTTCTGAAGAGAGAGTCTGCAGCCGGAGGTTTCCTTCGAGCAATAGAAGATGCATTGGCCTGCACTGGTTGAACCGCGGTTCTGAGGTGCTTGCACCATCTGCCCCGAGCACGAGACAACGAACATCACTGGCGCCACGAGCATCAGCTCCTGTAATTGCGTGCCGGGTTACTTCCGCACCAATCCCGATGCCGACCCTCGATTCAAGATCTGTTACTGTTCCCTGCATATGGAAGAAGCCAGCCGTTCAACTGACAGTCACATGTAAATGTAAAGTGCATCCAGGACTGCCAATAACCATCCATCACCAAGGATTGGGAGCTCGTCAGCAATCACGGCGTTTGTCGTCCTTGCCCGGATGGAGCCATTTGCAACTTGGGCCTGTGGATTTTGTTGTGCTCGGTGTTTTCAAATCACCCGGCACATTCAAGGGCCAGTGCAAGCTTGTCAGGTGAGGGCGGGGCGATCCAACCCTATGCTTCAGGCGGGTATTGGACACCCGACAGGCCCCATGCCTCCATGCGAAGACTTGCAGCTCACGGAGAAGCCGAAGCCTAAATCTGTCAGCCTGGGGCCAATGCTGCCGGGGATGAGAGGAGAGGAGGAGAGTGCGCGAGGAGAGGGTGCACTTGCGCTTGCTGCCGCTTGCAGGCTCGTCTTCTGGCCTTGCTTTCCGTCCCACGCCTGCCTCGAAGGCCGAAGTTTTAAGAGTGAGCGTAGGCTTGAAAGTTCTGGCATCTGTCATGGCCCAGGAGATGCAGTGAGTGGGGCACTCGGTTCTTTTGAGCTCTGAGCGTGTGCGAGCTGCATCCCACTCCCAAATCACTTTCAACATCTGCAACATCCGACAACCCGCGACTGTTCCGCTGAAGGCTTCTTTCAGAAAAGGAATGTGCCACTCAACATGTCACTGAACGGAGATAGTCAATTCTCGCAACAGAACCTTTGCTCAGATCCGAACCGTTGCGAAGATGCGCGAGATCCGACCTCTGTCCGATGCGGACAATGCCATACTGATGCTTTCGCTCATCAGAGCGCGCTAGCTGCAGACAGTGGTTCGTGATGGTACTGGTAGGTTAGTCAAATTCTTGTCGAGGCACAGGGCAAGTGACAACCAAGAAGGGGCAGAAGCAATGCATGGTTTTTCTCCGGCGCCCGTCCTTCGAACCTCCTGTCGCTACCGTCTAAGGTGAGTGCTATTCGTGCAGCGGTGGAGACGTGGCACTTGCGTGGGCGGGACCCTTCTTGGGCCTGTTGGTGCTTGTGTGCGTGTTTCGGCAGAAAGTCAGCTCGTCAATCGGGTCCCTGCCAAATCTTCATTGAATTCCGAGGGCTTCATCCCCGCCTTGATCCGCTCGCTTTGTGGCTTGGCGAAGGGGCGTGGCATAGTGGGCTTTCAGTGTTCCTTGCCCCCAGCCCCCCTCCCGGCACCCCGCGAAGCACGGATCATAGCCGCAGCCGCAGGGTCTATGGACATGGAGCACACGAAGCTTCAACATCGGCTCCTTGCGACGACGCACAAGCACAGCTCATGGCTAGGCGCGGCCCAGGGGTTCCTTCCTCCTTCGATTTTAAGCTGCGGTTCGTATTCTGTTCGATACTCATAAGTATGATTGTGACAGTTGTTGTAGAAAATATATACACACTTCATTATCATGGTGGTAGTATTCTGCAATCATTACCTACACTTTTCTTCCTCCCAGTCTTGCTACTACGCCCCCGCGGGAGTTCTGGGAGCCCTTGTCCAGGCCGGCTCGCGGAGTCCGACCACGGAGAGTTCCTGGGTTCTCGTTAAGAGATTTAATCTAAGTTACTATTATAATTACAAGGAAACCAGGTTATCTACTTTTTATAGATCCCTATTATGGTAACTTAATTGAACTCCCCCTAACAAGAACCCAGGTTCCGGATGGTCATCGTCATGCTCACCTCCTTGCAGACGCCCCTCAGCCCAAAAATCTGCCTTTCGGGAGGCATGGGGAGGTTCTCGTATGTGCGTGGATAAATATATAGATGTAAATATATCTATATATATATATACATACATACATACATACCACACGTATATGTAGAGAGAGATATAGATAGACATATATATATATACATATGTATACATACATATATACACATAGCGAAACATGTTTCTGCTGTGTCGTGAACGGGCCGTCACACGAGCCCAGAAGACGTCAGTCGTCGAAGCAACTGCAAGCAAATCCAAGCAAGAGTGCACGGCTTTCAGTCTTAAGTATGCCAAAGTCCCGAACTGCAAGCGATCTGTCACCAACGTCCATGGTACCCAGTCTGTGTGTTTGAGCCACTTTTCGGAGACGAAATCGGTAGTGCCACATGCATGGTGGCGTAATTACTGACAAAGTGCATCGGGCATGTCCAACAGAGCCCCCCAAGCAGTCGTGAACTAGCAAAAACTGAGGTTGTGGACTGTCTCCTTGATGCCGCTGCCTTATACCCGACTCTGGGCCTCGAGTTTTGAAGTCTTCGAAACCCCTCTTGATCCGAGCTTTGCGCCCTGAGCCGCCTGGAAGCCTGTGCCTTGTGCCAGCCTCACGACCTTTCGGCATCCCTTGACGCCTTAGCAATGGACATCCAAGGATTCACGAAAGATTGGCTCTGGATCACAGGCCTGAGCCTGGGCTCTGTAGCTGCTGCAGCCCAGCTGTAGGCCAGCTTATGCCAGCTTCGGGCCTTCGGCCGCAGCTCTGCGAGGCATCGTGGCCTGCGACGTCTCGATCCTCCGGCCCCAGTGCGCATTGAAGCTGCCCGGCTTAGGAGAGCTAGGACTCCAACTTACTACTCACCAGATCCTGCAGAGCCAGGCTGTCCTACTTCATGAAGTGGCTCATGCAATGGGCCACCTTCTTTGTGGTCGTGGTGCTACCCTTGGTCCTGCCGAGTTCCCCTTCCTGAAAAAAGACCTGCGGAACGCATGTAAACAACTCACCAATTGAATTCGATGACCCCTGAGTCATGCACTCAGCTGCGCTGTCTGAGCCCATGCCCTGGCAGCTGCCTTCACCAAGGCCGTGCTGGCTCTGGCAATGCTGGCGTACTGTTTCCACCATAAGTTGCTTGGGCAGCAATGTCCAACCGGGCTCAAGCATACTCGGAGTAGACGGCACAGAGGCTTATCTTCCTTCCCAAGCAAGCCGCCGCCTGCAAGGAACCGATTGAAAGACCTCGGGTACATCAGCCCCAAGCGCGGCATTCTGGGCGTTTTCTCCATAACACTCATGCGCCTTCCCTGAAGTTCGTGTTTTGCACACTGCAGACGAAGGGAGCGGTTGCCAGTATGTTTGCATCATGATATAGAGTCGTGTCTTCGCTTCTTCCGCAAAGGAAGGTTGCAGTCTCGGCTCATGCCTTCAAGACCAACTTTTATGGTGTTTGCAGAGGCTACTACTTCTGGTTCACCTTCGCGACGATTTGATCTTTCTAAGCTGCGTTACATGCGAGGGCGACAAGATGTGCATCCTGGCTACCAACATGAGCTATGGCACAGTGGTTTGTCATTAATCGGCCAGCATTGACGCATAGAGCCTATAGCGCTGACTGCGAATTCCTTGCCCGAATTGTTTCTGCAACCTCTGCGGCGTCACACAAGAGACAAGCAGCTTCCGCCAGAGTCCGGAGTCGAGGTCTTGCCTTCCAGCCTGTGATTGAGTGCGGCAGCAGCAGCTGGGCTCCTTGGCCACATCTCAAGTTTAGACTTCCGACTTTCCGGCTTTGCCTCCTTCGAGGGACACTCGCGCACGAAATTGGGCATCTCCTTTGTCTTTGGAGTCTGCGAGTTAAGGAGTGGTCAGCCCCGTCCTCAGAGCGAGCTTGTGAGTACTTGTGTTTTCGCAGCACAACTTGGGGGGCCACCGAGACCATGATGGTCCTTTCCATTCTGGACCTGATCTTTGTGGTTGCTGCATCTCTGCCCCTTATCGCCATTTGCATCTACAGCTCATGGAAGTGGCAGCACGGGACCCTCGGACTGGAATCATGGCGTGCTGGTACGGACTAGGGGACCTGCCTGAAACTGTGTGAACCGTCGGGATCCCTTTTACTTTTTATACTGTATGAATCCATATTCTATGAATCCCAACTAGAATACTGTGGGCTAACACGAATACTGAGGCGAAGGCTAAGTTCGCAATACGTAGTACTGAATACCTCGTCCGCACTCCTGAATCCTTAACCCTTAATACTCACTACTGAATACTAACTGCTAGTAAGCTTCTACTTCTATACATAATTGCATGCATGCATAAACACTTAAACACTCAAACACTTATATGCTTGTCAACACTTATTTTGCTTCTTCCGTTGTTACATACTTTACTATGCTCTATATTCTACTATACAGTACTACAGTGTACCAAATACTACACTAAGTTATATGATGTAGTACGTTTAACAAAGTCATGCTACCTATTATTTGCTCAGAACGGGGCGACAGCTACACAGCTACACTTAACCGAGGCATCGGCGCGGCTTAGACGCGACCTTCAGCGCCCCCTGGTACGTCTACTTCTCGGAGCCTGGTCCCAGCTTAGACGGGAGCATGACACCGTCATCGCCAGTATGCCATGATAGAACATAAAGATAGTATGATAGTATATAGTGAGAGTATATCATGAAGGCATGTAATGATAGTACATAATGGGAGTGTATATATATATATATATAGAGAGAGAGACTCCGTCAGCAGTGATGCTTTATCATGGTAGTATGAAATGATAGTACCATGATAATTAGTCTCATCACAGGCATGACAGATTCTGTCACCGACTGCCTTGACCAGGAATTCTGGGTCAAGCGCCACAGGGGCTACATCCAAGAAGTTCGAGAGGCGAGGCGGTTTTGATCTCTTCTCAAAAAGACCGCAGCTCCTGAGTCCCGGCGGATCTGCAGGCGGTGCCCGAGTTTCAGAAGCTCTTCCTTGAAGAGGAAGTGCTCGCGGCTTCCCACAAGGACTCCTGGCCCCATGATCTCATGCCGCATTTTGGCTTGCCCATTCCGATAGAGGGAGTGGACATCGGACCACAGCACACTCATGTGGCTGATGAACTTGAGAAGCTTGCGGGGCGGAGCTGTGACGATCGGGCAAGTCCTCATACTGTAAGTTTCAGCAGTATCTGCAAGACTCCCACAGGGGTCCAAGCTTGCTGAAGGGGGCAGCTGTCGCTCAAGTTCTCTCTTGCCCAGGAGGTGTGGCACAGAGCCATCGACCTCATCTTGGCACAGGAGGCGGAGAAGGCAGGGGGGATGCCGGTTGGCGCGGATTGAATGTTCCTTTAGCTCCCAGAAGCCGAAGTCTCGGAGGTAGTTGTGATGGTGCGAGAAAGTCCTGCTCTTCTTGTCGTAGCAACAGTCGTGATTTTAGTGGTGGCAGCGGCGGCAGCAGCGGTAGCTACAGTAGTGCCGTAGCTTGGCCCCTTATCGTCGTAGTTGCAGCAAGAAATGAGCAGTAACCATCGTCAACGGCGGCTACGACGCCCCAACTTGAGGGCGAGATTTCAAGTTACGAAGGGATTGAGTAGGAAGTGGCAGGTCTGAGGTGCAAGGCCTGCGGCCGGTCACAGAAGTTCAGTTGCGCTTCAGGCCGATGCGCTGCTGCTGAAGGTCATTGAGCACATGCAATTTGGCAAAAAAGCGGTAACATGGTCTCGTGGGCCTCCGCGTCGTGCTTTTCAAACCGCTGGCATTGATCCACCCAGGTATACGCATAGCGATCGCTTCAGGGCGATCGACGAAGATGAAGGCACAAACTTCAAGGGACGAGAGGTGATTTTGTGATCATGCTGCGTTGTGGCGTCGGGACGACGAAATGGAGAGTCAGGGCGATGCGGGCACCATGAATGACCATAAGTTCAGGCCGCTACTTCAGAAGCAGTGGCATCAGTCGCAGTAGCAGAAGAAAGCGGCATCCGGTTTGGGTCTGAACATCTAAGAATTAGAAGCCGAGCTGCCCTTCTTCGATGCCTGTCCTGGCCAGAGGTCCCGCCTTTCAGATCATCCGCAACATCAGGCGAGTTGGACGGCAAAAGGGGGATCGGGGGATGCTAGAGGAGAAGAAAAAGAAAGCATGTTTTGTGCCCATCGAAACTTGCTGGGCATCTCGTGGCTCAGTGAAGCCTCTGAGAATGGTAGCTACTGTATACGTGGACTACAGGCTACAGGAATTGTCGTTTGGTCTTCCCGACCTGGTGCCGCCACGCGGCCCCGTTAGAGCCCAAGAGGATTACATACAGCATACGGTGCAAAGCCTAGCTTATGATTCCAGGTCCGCCATCAAAGGCAGAGTGGACCGACCAGATCGCAGCAGGGCACCGTTTCTCAGCGAAGCTGCACGGCTGACCTTGGCGAACTGCAAAGATTTTGGTGGGTCAGCTTGGCTAGCGCGGGAGGGAAGGTGGGAAAAGCATCTGCAGCCGACCACAAACCTGTGTCTCAGCGCAATGATGGCAGAAGAGGGGCGCATCGCACTTCGCCACAAGCTGCGGTGGCTAAGGGCCTGATGTCAGCCGGAAGCGCGTCTCGTTCCGAGGCGCCGCCGCAAATCGGAGGGATTCGAATTCCTGTAAATTTGGTAGACGGGAGTGACAGGCAACCATCGACCAGCCCGTGCCGCCGGAGACAGAACCCGATGTGCTGCAAGTGGCCACCTTCGGCCTCGACTCGGAGGCTCCAGGGCCGCCAGGGGGGGCCCGTAGGTTTGCTTTTTGGGGTCCCCGTGCAGTTATCTTTTGGGTACTGTCGGAAAAGTACTCCGCGCTGTCCAGGGGCTTTTTTGTATGTCCACCAACCTGGACAGCTTCTAAAAAAGGGCCTTCTCTCCCGTGCACGGGTTTGTCTTCTACCCTGCCATGTATCCATGACCAAAAAGAACCTTCCCCTCAGCGGACAGAGCTTTCAGCGTGCCCTCTGCAGCCCGGATCGAGACGCCTCGGGCACGAGATGTTGAGATAAAAGCCCTCCTAAACCCAACGACGGGTTTCAAAAGGTCGTCTTGTGTACCCGTTGCCACCCAGAGGTCTTCCCTCCCCAATGAGGATTAAGTGGGCCCTGTGGCTTCTTCCAGTTGCCCCGGAGGCAAGAGTTAAAGTAACAAATGAAGCCTCGAGGAAGGCAGAAAACACCTTGACAGACCCCACAAGGCTTTCTGTTACTTGTTGACAAGGGTTCATCCAGACATGCCGCTATCGCCCGAATTCGCAGGGTTGAGTCACTGTCACGCCAGTCTCTTTCGCACGGTTTGCTCCTTGTTTTCAATTTATCTAGTCTCCTTCTCTTTCGAGCGGGTTTGCTCCTTGTCTTCAATTTCTCTAGTCTCTTTCGAGCGGTATGCTCCTTGTTTTCAACTTCTCTAGTCTCTTTCAATTGGTTTGCTCCTTGTTTTCAACTTCTCTGGTCTCTTCCGAGCTGTTTGCTCCTTGTCTTCAATTTCTCCAGTCTCTGTCTCAACTTATCTAGTGTCTTTCGAGCGGTTTGCTCCTTGTTTTCAACTTCTCTAGTCTCTTTCGAGCGGTTTGCTCCTTGTCATCAATTTCTCTAGTCTGTTTCGAGCGGCTTGCTCCTTGTTTTCAAGTTCTCCAGTCTCTTTCGAACGGTTTGCTCCTTGTTTTCAAGTTCTCTAGTCTCTTTCGAGCGGGTTTGCTCCTTGTTTTCAACTTCTCTACTCTCTTTCGAGCGGTATGCTCCTTGTTTTCAACTTCTCTAGTCTTTTTCGAGCGGTATGCTCCTTGTTTTCAACTTCTCTAGTCTTTTTCGAGCGGTATGCTGCTTGTTTTCAACTTCTCTAGTCTCTTTCGAGCTGTTTGCTCCTTGTTTTCAATTTCTCTAGTCTGTTTCGAGCGGTTTGCTCCTTGTTTTCAATTTCTCTGGTCTCTTCCGAGCTGTTTGCTCCTTGTCTTCAATTTCTCTAGTCTCTTCCGAGCGGTATGCTCCTTGTTTTCAATTTCTCCAGTCTCTTTCTAACGGTTTGCTCCTTGTTCTCAAAGTCTCTAGTGTCTTTCGATTGGTTTGCTCCTGGTTCTCAAGTTTCCCTAGCCCTGTTCGAGCAGTTTGCTTCATTGTTTCAATATCTCTAGTCTCTTCCAATCGGTTTGCTGCTTTTTCTGTTCCTTTCGAGCGGTTTGCTCCTTCTGAAAGGTTCTAGATCCTTTCGAGTGGTTTCTCATTGTGTTCAAACTCTCTAATCTCTTTCGATATGGCTCTGTCTCTTTGTCTCTCTGTCTTATGTCGCTTTCTTCTCTTGTTCCGTCGGCCTTAGACCCCCAAACCCAGAGCGCCAAAAGCCTTGTATGGCCGGTTAGGTAGTTTTTTGCCCCCTTAAAGATTCGTTTGTTCCTCCTGCCTGCCAGGGTCGAAAGGCTGAGTGCTTTTGGTTGCTGGTGCCTAGGTCGCTTAAGTGCTTCCAGGGTCCCAGACATGACTAGGTCGTTTCTCTGCTACGATTTGTGAAGTCGAGCTTAGCCCAGTGTAGAATCTGCCTATCGCCACTATGCTGCGTCCCTGCTCCTCCCCTCTCGACTATCACATGTGCAGTCAGGGACTGTCTCTGTGTGTGTGTGTGCACATGAGGCACTTCCGTCACCATGTGAAGCAAGAGCACATGACAGGAGCCGGCACTCCGAGAAGCAGTTTCAGATGACCCTCTTGAAGTGGTGGAGAAGCTGAAGGCTCGGCAAAGGCACTACAGTTGCTGCTTCGAGGTGTGCTTTTTGCACAGAGCAGTACGATGAAACCGACAACAGCATCGACAAGTATCGTGCTAACACCACAACCACGACGACCAGAACGACCGCGGCTACTGCCGCTGCCGCTGCTGCTACTCCTCTTGCTGCCGCCGCTGCCGTATACGCCGTAAACACGACTGCAGCTTCTGAAACTCCTATTTCTGCAGGTGGCACCTGAGGTTTGCCCTTTGTAAAGTTAGGCAAGCACCTGACAGGCACGATGCATTGAAAGAGTATTACTGGTGTATGGGTGCAAGACACGAAGCCCGGCATCTGCTCTGCAGGCGCCAAGGCCAAGCCAGCAAGGTGAAATGCAATCATGCTGGTCATGGCAGTCGTGATGATCATGGTGGTCTTGTCAGCAAGTCTTGATAAACGAAGCTACATAATGATAGCTATGACGTTGGTAATGCTGATTGTGCGGATGGTGAGTGATTGTGGTGGTGAGCCACTCTACACAAGTTGCCTCTTCGGCAGCCAGGCTCAAAAAGATGTTTGCAGCCCTGTTGAATTCGCGAAGCTCCGGCTAGCGCACTTGGTAGAACTTGAAATCTCGTCCTCAAGCCGTAGCTAGCGATTCGGCATGGGGCCGCTCAGCAGACAACAGCTTTGCCAAAGCTGCAGGTGTCGGATGTGCATCACGTGAAGCTGCCTTCCTGCACCTTCGGCAACCTCTTTGCTGGACATACTGCGACAAAGGGATGGTATCCGGAGTCTACTGTTTACTTCACCTTGCTTCAGAGCGGCATTGCTGTTGTCGGTTCGAGGAAGCACTCGTCATGCCCCAAGGCTGACACTCGAGAACGTGCTGGACTACGCCAGGCGACCAGCCGGTAGCACTCGAAACTACCCACTTTTCGTAGGTCGCAAGATGTCCGATCGGCTTTCGGGAGTTTTACATGTCACAGCAGGTGCCCGGCTACAGGGAAGCTCCAGTCTGCTTGCGCAGTCAGTTTCGCATGCTGCATCAGATGCAGCCCTTCCCAAAGCGAGTGAATGTTGTCGGTTCTTCCCTTTCTTCACAGTAGCGATCCTCGAGGCTCCGCAGCAGCAGAGCTCCCGAGCAGAATGTCCCGGGTAGCTGTGAGCTCTGTCTGCGAGGTGGTCGGTGCCTGGCGCCAGAGCCATCAAGCAACTTGGCGGCGACAACCCATCTGAGAGGGCTCTGATGTGAGATCAACGCACGGGCTGGAGACAAGTTTTGAGATGACAGAGGCGGGTGTTATCATACAGCTGGACATTGCCTCTTGGACTAAGAAGATCAGTTTGATTGCTGCTATCGTTTCAGAAGAGCTATTGCGATTTGGATGAGGATTCTCCTCATCGCCCGCCGCTTCGTGCGCAACAGAGGGCTCAGAGATCGGAAGTGACGGGGAGGCGGTCGTTGCTACGTCCATTGTTTTTCGGCTCTCGTGCTTCTGCTGTAGCAAAAAACGGCTAATCGAAGAGCAGCTGCAAGTCGCCCCCGAGTTTTGGGCTACCTAAGTGCTGCTTTAAGCACCACGGCTTCGCATCAAAGCTGAGGATTTGTGATAACAATCTATGCCATGCTCATGAGAAGAGACCAGTCCGATGTGCCTCTCGTGTACCTCCTCGTTACCCTGGCGCCGGTGTCCCAGATGGGTTGGCGAAGGTGCCGCATGCAGACGCCTCGCGCCATTTCTCGTTCCGGTGCCTTTAGACGGACGTGGAGCTAGTCCTAGAGGAGTGACTAGGACATGAAAGACAGATCAACTCAGCATGCGGGCACTTGCGAGGCTCTGCTTGCCTTTAAGGTATGTCCTCCTGGGAGCAGGCCTCCAACCCTATGTTTGGGGCTTCCTCAACGACTGGGTGCCTGGATGGCACTTTTGAAGTCGGGGCCGTGACCCAGCTTGGAACATGCTGAGAATGAAAACGACATTCTTGCCGGGTTCTACGGCTTGGGATCATCCCTCCCAGTTGGAACTGTGCTGTGACCAAAGATTGGTGTGCAGTCTTAGCATGCCTTGCGCCACAGGAGGTGGCTGTCCACTCCCTGATCTATGTGCTTCTGGGCTGAAGCTGGATTCAGTTTAGACTTATCCAGTCGCGGACAAGATGGGTCCATGACTGGTCTTTCCCACATTCCCTTCGGTTCCCTTCGCACGAAGAGATGTTCGCTTCCGAGGTTCTTGCTCTTTGTAATCTCTGGCTGGTCAGTGCCCTTGCAAGAAATGAGCCAAGCAGAGGGAAGGGAGGAGGAGTCGGAATCCTGTCAGCCAGCTGAGGACACTGCAAGCGACGTGCTGGTGGTGGTAGCCACCATGTCAGCCGTCGTGCCTGTGGTTCTTCGCTTCCTTCTCCTCCTTTGTGGCCAGGATTCCCGACTTCTAACCCCCAAGAATCCAAGACCAGCCGCGAAGCGGTCATATCAAATCCAAGAGGCCAGCAACTCCTCTAAGATCCTGAAAAGCCATCCTTGAAAGCCTGGCAGTGAAAGCTGTGTACATCGCAAAGAGCCTCGAAACAAAGATGTCGAGCAGAGCTTCAGCTTGCCAACGGGCTGAAGTCCTGCAGGACAAACAAGATCCCGACGACAATGACACCGTCGTCTCACAGGGCTCTGCCGGAGACTCGTGAACGTTCATCAAAAGAATCCTGTGGTAATCCGAAAGCTCTGAGGGTGCGTACTTCTATATGCTTAGTGCGACTGCGGCCGAGGCCACCTACAACCTCAATCGACTAGCACTGTCACAAAGCGGCTGCTCGGAGCTTCAGAGATCCTCTGTCCCCTTTTTTTTTGGGGGGGAAGCCTTCAGAGACGCTCTGGGACTGAGGAGGCGATGGAGGCGTGTCACGGGCGGCATCTTCAGTTGGACCCAAAGCGAGCTCACGTTCCAGGCTCACAAAGGGGTCGCCGGCCCACACAGAGTTCAGCGTTTTTTTGGCACAGCAAGGGGTAGATCATCTGGCTGCTGCACGATTAGGTTGCACTATTTCCGTCCTTTTCAATTCGAGACTGCCCTATGCTTCATGCTCTAATGACCCTAATGCTGAAATGGCCTGCTCTCAGATCTGTCCAAGACGCCGGCCGGGTCCTCGGGTTCTGGCGAGAAAACTCGCCTGGTCACGTCAGCCACGCTGTGGTGGCAACAATGGATACCACTCGCAGGCATTCCAACATCGTACTGTGGTCTGAGGCCGCCACCGCGAGCATGTCCGCAATTATATCGAGATGGCCGCTGACCTGCACGTGTCAGCTCGGACAAGTAGCCTTTTCGGTAAATCACAGCAGAACGTGGCACACCCCCGAATCCTATCTACACAGAATGTATGCACAGCAAGCAAGACCTCCTGCAGTTCACCAGAGCTAGTTTCGGTACTTCGCCAGGTCAAGAACCAGAGCATAACCGTCGTTTGGGCTGATGAGCCAGGGCAAGAAATGCCTCCCGCCACAAGCACGGAGGCGGGGATTCTTGGCCAGAGCGCGTCTCCATGGACAATTGGGTGCATTGTCAATGGTTGAACGGTCGAAACCTTCCTTTCACCTTTTCGCTCCCCTGTCCTCACCGAACCACAACAGAAAAATGAGAGCATTCCTCGACCATCACAGCGAAAGCCGTCGAGTTATCCAAAGTTTACGAATGCCATCGTCCTGCAGGCTGATGCAGCGGGGCCAGGTGCCTTCGGCTGCATGTCTGGAGTCTGGATACATCTGAGGTCGCTTGTATGCTTGCAAGAATAAAGCGCACTCTTGACTGTCGATTCGGTTCTGTGGCTGAATCCAAGAGGCCGTGAGGCTGTCAAATTTGTGCTGGGCCCCGACAGGTGTCAGCAGCACTGATGGCTGGAGTCTGAGTGTTACCCAGCCGACCTATCCGTGGCAACTCTGGTGGTTCGATCCATGTGTCCTCTTTTGAGATGTACTGTATCTTTCCGGCTTGACGGAGACGAAGGCCCAACCACGTCAGACCGGTGATGAGAGCACCAGGTTTTTCAAAGAGAACCAGACGAACCCCCCCCCCCCCCCTAACCTGCGATTCTGAGGCCAGGACGTCGCCAGTGGTGCAGACGCCGTCACTGCCAGTGATCGAGGACTTGCAAGAATAGCACCCTCTAGAGTCCCCCAAGAGAAGGATGATCGTCCTGCCTCAGCAGGACGTCTCGACGACGATGAGCAGATCAGGTCCTTCTCTATTTAATATTCCGTTGTGCCCTTCTGTCTGCTCCCCGAAGAAAAAGGGGGTCAGAGACTCTTTTCCAGGACGCGGGCGGAAGGAGCCAACTGTCATTTATGATGGCATGCGGTCGTTTCGTGCCTCGTTGATGCCGATGGTGCTCAAGCAATGTTCATGCAATGCTCGAAGCCTGAAAGGGTCCGAGTATGATCAAAGACAAGTTTATGTTACCCTGAACTGGGTGAGCAGTGCATCTTCCACGAGGTTCGCATGGGGGTATGCAGAGATAGTGTTGAATTCAAGAGCGATGTTCTGTAACTCTTGAGATGTGAGCATGCGAACCTCGAAGTTTCCCTGTTTGAGCTGAGGCTTTAGCCACTGTGATCTATATCAGTCAAGCCGACGCCAACCGTCCCCCCTTTAATTAAATTACTTAATTACTACCCTGTTACTGGCCGCCGAAGACACAAAAGGAGACACTTGCTGGTCTGAGGGCGGGGGAATGATTGAGCCTGATGTTCGCAGGCCATTTTGATGCTAATCTGGCATTGTGTTTAGATGAGTCGCCCTCTAGGATGCTACAGGACGTCGGCGGGGTTGAGTCCTGGGGGCGAATGTCGGTTCTCTGATCGTTTGGGGCTCTTTCTTGTAGGGTTCAGGCACTTGTGCTAGACCACGCCGCTTTGCTGCCCATTGGTCAAGGTCCTGTAAGATGCATGGGCTGGAAGGTTGCGAGAGGAAACTACGCCCCGAAGTAAATCACCACTCGTAGCGGGACGGGTTTGGGCTTCAGAGGGGTTTGGGCACCGAGTTTGAGTAAGGGTTCTGGGTCTTAGGATTTGGTCCTGCAGTGTTACTGGTTCTGATGGGGTGCTTAGCGATTTGCCATCTTAGAGTCTTTCTGGGCTGGGAGATCGTTAGAAGCTTTGGAGATGATGAGTTGAATCGGTTGGCTTTAGCGCTCAAGCCTGTTCTATTGTTTTTCGTGCTGCCTATGATTTGACAAGACTAGGGAGATGGGCTAGAAAGATCCTCGAAGATTCGGGAAAACTATTTCTTGTATCCAGGATAAGGTCAAAAATCTTTAAGAGTCGGAAATGCGCTAAAGACCCGGGAGTAATCTTCAAGATCCGATAATACGACTTGATATGATTAGAAAGTAATGTTTAAGATCCGGCAATTCGATTTTGATTTGATTAAGAGGGGATCCGAAAGAATTAGCAAGATCCAATAATACGACTTCTGACGATCAACAATAGTTGAAAGAATCGTGCTTATAATATTTGTTATGATTCAAGATTATGCTAGAAAGAGCCATCAAGACTCGATAATACGATTTGTCATGGAGAAAATACTGAAGGTAATACAATTTGTTAGGGCTAAGAATGGGTTAGGAAGAGCCGGTAAGACCCGGGAGTGCAGTTTCTTGTGGCTTAGAGTTGGCCAGAAAAGCCAGTACGACCCGGCAATACGATTTGATATGGCCAAGCTTGGATTGGAAAGCGGCCGGTCGTTCGGCGGGTTCGCGGGTCGGGCCGGATGCGGGGAGTCTAGGGTTGCGCGTTTCTGGGCCGAAAGAACATCCAAGATGCCGTAATACGATTTATTACGACGAAGAGTGGGTTAGAAAGAATTAATGATTAAGACGTAGGAATACGACTTGCTACAACTATATCTGGCGAAAGACTACTAAGATACGAAAATTTGCAGCCAAGGCACAGACTTGTCAGTCTTAAGGTTTGGGGCATGGTTCTCATGCAGATTTAAATATGTATCCATATATGGATATACATATATGTATATATATATATAAATATATGTATGTATCTATGTATAGGTATAGGTATATGTATATGCATATATGTATGTGTGTATATGTGTATATGTGTATATGTATATATGTATGTATGTATATATGTAAATATGCATGTATGCATGCATGTATGTATGTATGTATGTATGTATGTGTATATTTATTTATGTTCATACACACATATATGTTTATATGTATATATGTGCATAAATATTATATATATATATATACTTATATATATTTATATATATATATATATATTTATATGTTGATGTATATATGTGTGCGTATGTATGTATGCATGCATGGATGTATGTATGTATGTATGTATGTATGTGCGTAGGCATGTATGTATAAATGTATTTACGTATGTATATATGTATGTGTGTATATATATATATATAGAGCGAGAGGGAGAGACGGATAGATAGATAGATCGATCGAAAGACATATATATATATACATATATATATACATATACGCCAGAAAGGCAGCAGCTGCTCAGCAGGGCATGGGATAGTGACAATGTATGCCTCCTGGCTCCTCGAAGATGAGGTGGGCAGCGGGACGCTTCGCGCCCAGAGCCAGAGTTGTTCAGGCTTACATCCTTTGCAGGACTCACGGGTGGAGATGGCTGTGCGGGCCATGATCAAGACGATGAAGGCAAGCAGCGAACACGCTGGTCTTGGGCTTGCGATGCCATGCCGGTACTGTGATGAAGTCCATCTTTGGCTTGGGCAGGACTGCACGGGCGAGAGCTTGCAGGACACCTTGAAAAGCTGAGGTGCTGCACTCTAGATCTCTAGATCGTGGGCCCGACTGCCCA